GCAGTGTCTGCCCCTGTGTCACTCTCACAGCCAAGCAGGGCTAGTGTCCCTTGCACTAAAGATGCTCGCCACACTCTCCCTGCCACACTCACAAGATCTGACCAGCTTCCGCTAGGCACAGAAACTGCCAGAAATTCTAAGGCCTCTTGGTCTACATTTTCCAGAGGGTCTGATTTCTGTTGTACCAGCTCTGGAGAGCTGATGAGAATGGTATTATCTAAGGGGGTGCACACACGTCCAGCTATAGTTAAGGCTTTTTTTAGCTCTACTTCAGAACATAGGGCTAACTGCAGACTTCTTGATTGACTGGATGTGACCCTGAATGTTTGCAATAACTCGTGCCCTGCATCCTTCCAGCCCCAAGGCTCTCCAAGCTCTCACTGTTGTTGGCATCCAGGGCAGCAGCATCTCTCCTCACTCACGTGCTCATTACCTGTAGAGAGCTGCTGTTAAGTGTTCCCATCACCCCAGTGGAATGAGTCAACTGTTTCCTACCAAGACTCAGATCCAGGTTTCCTTTCCATTTTAAAAATACAGAAAAAGGAATCACAATAATTTTATAGTATTAAATTTTAAGGACTCAGCTGCATTGAATGCTTTGATAGGTAGATTAACTCAGTAAAATGACTATAATCATCCCAAGGACAGCCTGTTATATTGTTGCTTAGTTATTCTGCTTACACTTGTGCATATAAAAGCACACTTTTGATAATGATAGGTGGAATTCTTTCACAGTGAAAATGAGGTGTAAATCAGGCTATTATATTGCATTCAAGAGCAAGAGAGATGTTTAGTAGATACTATGTTAGTCAGAGTTCTCCAGAAGGATGGATTCAGTGGTTTAGAGGAAACATACTAGGGAAAATGTTCCCATGGTCCTGGAGGCTGAGAGGCCCCATCACCTGACAGCTTCAGGCTGGAGACCCAGAGAAATGGATAGTGTGGCTCAGTCCAACCTGGAAGCCTCAGGACATGAGACCATCTGGACGCCCAGTGTTGGAGCTGCCTACAGTCACCCACACGTCTTCCTTTATGGAAGATCATCATCTGTTTCCAGAAAGTATCTTCTCCATGGGGATAGTGTACTCAGCAGTTTCCTTTTGAGAGACACAGCTGGTGCAGAACAGACTTCCCCAGAAAGGGAAGCGGTCTTCCTTCTCTTCTGGGACCTCAGTCCCTGAACGTGTTCTCTGAGGCTTCTCTTCCCCTCACTGAGCTCCTCATGGGCCTCTGCTTCAGAGAAACTAATGACCCCTAAATCAGAAGTGATACGTAGTGGCCCTGAGGGTCAAAATGGACAGACCACCAGACTGTGTGAGTTTATAGCTAACATTTTCAGAGTGTTCTTTTATGAATTGCTGTAAATGACTGGAAGCACTGTATAGATGCTGCCTCAGTCCTTTGGTAACCCCACACAGTGGGTCCAGCTATTATAATATAGCCTCTCTACTTCACAAACCTAGAAACTGAGGTGCAGAGAGATGGAAAGGTCATACCAAGCAGATCTGAACAGAGACAGCCTCCTTCTGAGACACCAGCTGCTAACTTGTGGGCTCTGAAGATCATTTCCACACCTGAGGGTGCGATGTAATGCTTCCCAAGAAATTTAAATTAGTGCCAAATGTATTGAATATGCATAATGCTTTGAATGTGGCTTTCCACTAGTCTAGTAATAAATTAAAACATCTGGGCTGTGAATGTGGTTCAGTGGTAGTTTCCCCAGCTTGCATGAGGCCCTGGTTTTGATCTCTAACACCACAAAAAACAAAACAATAGAATATCTGCTTTAAAAAAAATACGCTTGTCATTGTCTAATATGGTTTCCTCCACATAATCAGTGGCCCTTTTCTCTCCTCCTGTCTCTCCCTCCATGAGAATTAAGTCAATATTTGACCCTCATTATTGCAGCTCATTTTCCAGACAATCTGTCATGCACTTTGTTTATCATCCTGTCACCAGAGAAAGCCAGTTGGTCTTTTTAGTATTTAATCCTTCACAAGAGGGCAATTGGTTTATGATCTGGAACGAAACAGTTTAGCTTGTTCTTATAATGAGTCAAATGATGGCAGGGTATTTTCCCTCTGCTTTGGAAAAGGAACCAACCTCACCTCCCTTGGCATTGGCAAGTGAAATTGACTTGTGGCTGAGGGATCTATTGCTCATCTCTCCAGGCTTCCCTGTGGCCCCCTCCATCTCCTATCCAGGCCATGGTCCTCCTTTACCCTGCCTTCAGCTGTATATTAGGATCCTTATGATAATCCCCAAAACTTGTACTCATTTGACTTTTCATGTGCTGAAATTTCCACTCAGATTGGAACCTTATTGAGGCACAGAAGGACTGGTCTCTATGTCCCCTTATAGCCTTGACCATTGGCAAAGACCAGTTTTGCTCATTTACAGATTTTTTTTCCCTTTCTGAATCTTCCGTTTCATGACATCGAGTTTTGACAGTGGAGCCAAAACATAGTCCAGCGCCTTCTTACTCCACATCCAGCCAGCAGTGAAAACCCTGGCTCTAATGCACATAGCTCACCCCATCACATTACCCAGGTTTAATACAACAACTTGCTGGCTGATGCTTGATCCCGGGCACCAGCCTGATAGAGGATTCTCACCATGGGGCCAACCTGGTCTTTTGGGGGGTTCATTGCATTTTTAAACAGATGTGGAGATATAATTCATAACCCATGCAACTCACCAGTCTAATGTGCATAATCCCATGGGCTTTTATTTTTAGCACATTCACAGTTGTGCAACCACCATCACAATCAAATTTAGAACACCCCCCTCAGTCACCCCTTCATCCTCACCCCCCAAATTCCCCGCATCCATTAATCCATAGTCTAGCTATACACATTTGATCAATTTCCTAACTTCCATGGCTCCCAACATATCCCCCTTTTTTGTTTTGTTTTGTCAGAGATGGGTGTTCCATTGAAGTTAGAGATGCTGTATTTGGAGAAGTCTTTAAAGGACTTTTTCATAGTTGATGCAGTCCAAAAATTGTAGGTACTTGAATTCAGCAAAATAACTCAATATAGTCCAATAGTCTATAATAGCAGTGAGTTATCAGCACAACTGGATATTGTCAGAAGTTGTTGGCTGAGGCTTTACAGCTCAACATGTTAATATAGCTTTACTTTTTATACCTCATGCTTACACTTTTCTGCTGGATGGTTAAGGCTAAATTAAAGCAAGAGCTATGTATCCTGACTTCTCTGCTTTCTCTTTCTTCATTGTTCAATCCATAAGTTCTCTCTTTCCATTTAACTGTATTATGCCTTTCAATTTTTATTTCTTCTTTTGAGTTCTTACACTAGGGAGACAATATGATATTTACATATGTGGGTCTGATTTATTTCACTTATAAGTATAGCTTCAAGTTACATCCACTTACCTATGAAGGTTTCAAGTTTATTTTTCTTTATAGTTGAGTAATATTCCATTGCATAAAAACACCAGAACTTTTTCATCCATTCCTCAGGTGACAGGCATGTTGGTTCTTTCCAAGATTTGGCTATCATAAATTGTGCTGCTATAAGCATAAGTGCACATATACCACTATGATACAATGTTTTCAATTCTTTTGAGAAAATCCCCAGAAGAGGGATAGCTGGATTGAATGGGATTTCCAGTCCTAGTTTTTTTAGGAGTCTCCACACTGATTTCCATAATGGTTGCATCAGTCTACATTCCCACTAGCAGTGAAGAAGGGTTCCTTTTTCCCCACAGCCTCTCCAACATTTACTGTTGGTTGATTTCTTTATGATAGCCATTCTTTCTGGGGTGAGATGGTATCTCAGTGTTGTGTTAATTTGCATTTCACAGATGACTAGTGATGTGGAGCATTTTTTCATGTATATTTAGCTCCTGTATTTCTTCCTCTAAGAAGTGTGAGTTCATCTCAGATGTCCATTTTTGGATTGGCTCTTTAAATTTTGGGGTCCTAATATTTTTAAGTTCTTTATAAATTCTAGAGAGAAGACCTTTGTCTGAGTGCTTATTAGTTAAGATTTTTCCAGATTTGTGGGTTATCTTTTCACTCTGTTGGTAATTTCTTTTGACATGCAGAAACTTCTCAATAAGAGGAAGTCCCAGTTGTTAATTCTTTCAAGTATTTCCTGGGCAGTTTGATTTTTGTTCATTAACTCTTTGCCTACCCTTATGTCTTCAAGATTTCCACTTACTTTCTCTTCCAGAAGATTTAGTGTCTCAGTGCCTAAAGCAAACAAGCTACCTCAGTCCTGAGATAAACACCCTGTGTGGTTAAGGTCAGCTATTAGTCACTAGGCAACCTTGTGTCAACATGTTACTAACTTTGCAAAAGTACAAATAAAGGACCATTTTGTTGTGAAAAGAAAAAGAAAAAAAAATATATATATATATATGTATATACACACACACAAGATACTTAGGATAGATATACAGCTACTGTCTCTTATTTTATTGAGAAGAAATGTTTGTACCAATATTATTTAGACAAAATACCATGTCTGCATCTTATCCTATTATGAAGACAACAGTATGCAATGTATTAATTATTGGAACTGCCCTTCTAACCTGTTTTGAAACTGTTTCTTTGCTATTTTATCTTTATTCTCAGTATAGTGAATATAAATAAAATAAAATCCATAGTCTATCTCTAGATTTGCCTGTTCTGCTCTCGGATACCATAAACAGAATCATCCAGGGTGTGGCCTGGTGTGTCTGGTTGTTTTTACTTAGAATCGGGTCTTCAAGGTCCATTCATGTTGCAGTATCCCCAAAATTCCTTGTTTCTTGTTATTGCCAATTTGTATTCTACCATATGAATAGAACACATCTTAGTTACCCTTTACAAGTAGGTGGGATTTGCACTCTGCCCTCATTTGGGCTGTGGTGAAGCACTGCTATAAACTTTTCTCTGCAGCCTTTCACTTGTCCTGATTATATATCTGGGGAGGGATTCGCTGGATCATGTGACAACGTGAAGTTTAACCTTTTGAGAAACTTCTAGACTGGAGCTCACTTTAGCAGCACATATATTAAAACTGGAACAAAACAGAAAAGATTAGCATGGCCCCTGTGTAATAATGACATGAGGATCGGAGAGATAGCTCAGTAGAATAAGCATTCACGTTGCAAGCACAGGGTCCTGAGTTCAATCCCCAGTACCACACAAAAAAAGACATGAAAATTCTAGATAGATAGATAGATAGATAGATAGATAGATAGATAGATAATAGATAGATAGATAGATAGATAGATAGATAGATAGATAGATAGACAGATATTTGTATTTAGTACAGGGTCTACAGTGTCTCACTACACATAACAGACTCATAGTGACTCTCCTATTTCCAGCCTCCCAAGCACTGGGATTACAGGCGTGCATCATCACACCCAGTCTCAGTTGCCTTCTCAGCAAGCCCCAGGGACAGGGCTGGCACAGCACGCCAGAGTCCAAACCTGGTCCCAGCAACTGCCTAAGCAGGTGCTTTAAGCCACTGAGCTATCTAGCCAGCAAGTGATCCATATTAAAAGAAAAAAAGAAAGAAAGCAAGAAAAAGAAACTTCCATATTTTTCTCAAATCAGCTGCACCATTTTATATCCCCACCAATCCATGAGAAGCTCAATTTCTCCACATCCTTGTCAATATTTTTTTTTTTCAGAACCAGGGATTGAATTCAGGCCCTTGCGCTTGCCAGGGAAGCGCTTATTCCACTGAGCCATCTCCCCGACTCTCCTTGTTAATGCTTTCAAGCAATGATTACGGCCATCCCTATGGATACTAGATGGTATCTTGCTCCCTAGTAATTAATGTTGTAATCAACATTTCACACTCTTTGTCACTAGCCATCGAAGAAATGAAATTTGCATTGGCCATTTCAAGATCTTTGAAGAGTAGATTATAGCCTGTTTCAATTGGATTGTTTATCATCTTATTGAATTAGAAGAATTATTTGGGTAGTCTCAGTCCCATATGAAAAGTATGATTTGCAAATGTTTTCACCCATTCTATCCTTTTACAATCCTTTTAAAACACATCTTCTCAGTCCTCTGGTATTCCTCCTTCCTAGGGAAGCCCAGTGTGAGCTCTACGGCTTCACGAGCTCCTGTGTGATCTGCTTTGCTTCCCATGACCTATCTGACCTCATCTTTTACACTGGCCCAGCCACAGGGCTTCCTGAATGGTCCTCATGCCTCAGGGCCTTTGTACCTGCTACTCCTTCTCTCTGATAACTGCATGGCTTCCTCATCTCTTCACTGCCTTTACACAAATGAAAGTTTCTCTGCAGACCCCCTTCCCCACCCATCCCATGTAGCTGGCAAACACCCTCTACCGGGTGATCACCACTTTTCCCCAACTGTGCTGTTTTTCTACACAGCACTCACCTTTCCAACATATCTTATATGCACTCATTTGCCTTTTCATTTTTGCCTCCCCCAGTGAAATCATGACTTCTGAAATTCAAGATTTATGTTTTGTTCGTTGTTGCCAATTTGCCTCAGCACCTACAATAGGATCACTGGGTTTGAAGCCCTAATTATACTCATAAAAACCCAAAAGGAAATCAAGATTACCAGAATTCAAAACCTATTCTAGATTGGATTAAAGAACACATTTCCTTAAGTACATACATAGATTATGTTGTGTAGCATAAGCGGTTCTTCCAAATTTGCCCATTTTATTATGTTTCTCATTAATTTTTTTGGCTTTATTTTCAACAGATCACGATGGTGCCATCCAAAAGAGATAATTATAGCCATCAAAAATAGCAGAGAAACATGGAATGAGCATAAAAGACAGAAAAGACAATCTCAAAATTCCCTTATGCTGTAAAAGGGAATAGTGATCTTATACTTCTGGCCAATCCAGAAAATCAATTATGAAAGTTAATGCTATTTATATGTCCTCTGTCTGGTGGTTCACAAGCCCTTCTGTGTGTTTGTTCACTGAACTGATGTGGTGTTTTTCTTTCCATAATTTGGAAACCAAACCAATGAAGCAGCTAAATCCTCCCAATTTACTTCTGATCCTTGCTGACATTATTTATAATGAACCTGGCTCATTCTGTAATTTCATGGTAGAGTGCCAGCTGTAGTCCTTTGATGAAGAGACCAGAGGAGTCCAGCTACTTCTCTCTGCTGTATATCAGTACATGACAGCCTACCCATGAGCATCAGATCACCACATTACTTCCCCACCAGCTCTTTCATACCAAGGGCATGGGGCAAAACCCTCGGAGTCACCACCTCCACAGCTATGACAGTGCCCAACATGTCATGATTTGGGGCATGATTATTGCAGCAGCATCCTAACTGGGCATCCCTGCTTCCCCTCTTGCTGTGAGAAGCAAAAGGAATGCAGCCCTCTTCTCTGAAAAATAGCAAGGTGATTTATCCAAGATGCACCTCTGCACCAAGCTGTCCGTGACTCCATTTTATTCAGAGGAAAACTCATAGCCCTTCCAGCAGCCGTAACAGACCAACACACCAATCTTATTTGTGGTCTTGGTTTTGCAAGCCCTGGAGTAGATGCTCCCCACTTGAGGACCACCATACTTAGTGGTGCTCTGTCTAGAACATGCTCCCAGAACTCTGCCTGGCTCTCTCCCACATCTTTTCCTATTTTGTTCTTTTTCCTACTGCCTGGCATGGCAAGTACTCAATACCTATGAATGAATGAATTAAATGAATGAATACAAGGAATCAGGAACAACAGTAGTGCAAGTATGGATGAAAGCAGTGGAGGACCCACAAAAAAGATCAGCAGTGTGAATATTGACAAACTTACAAAGGATTTCTCACGGATAGAAAAGAAAATTATAGCAACCAGTGGAAAGAATAATAATCTGCAGATTGTGTTGGAAAAGGTTACCTGTTTATTAAAAGTAATCCAAGCAAAGAAGTCTCATTTTAAAAAGAATATGTTGCTCTTCATGATGATAAAAGAGCTACAGCTCACTATTGAATATCAAAACAATTTGAAAGATGAAAATGAACAGCTACAAGGAAATGCTAATATGGCAAAGGAAAAGCTAGAATCTCAAGAGTAAGAATGTAAGAATAATGTCACCAACTTTGCACATGAAATGACAATCAAAGAGGAGGAACATAAGATTAAAATAAGCAGACTTTATAAGATAGGCAGAAAAAGGTTGAATTAAATGAAGAAAAGCACAAAGATCTAATAAAGAAAAAGGAGATGGAGTTAAATTTCAAAGTTAAATGCAAAGTTAGTAACTCAAAAGAAAAAAAAAAAAGGAAAAGTAAATGAAATAATCAAGCTACAGCTGGAGTTTGATGCCAAACTAGCAAGAGTTCAGACTAAATCAAAACCCTATCCATATGCTAATATTTCCCCACAAGGTATCTCCAGAAGGCCTCAATCTCTTCAAGAAGATAAAAGCAAGGAAATTGCAATTCTTCGTAATATCATTCATAATTTGGAGCAGCAGCTTTCTATTGGCAGAGATTCTCACTTAAGCATAGACAATTCTGAGTATAAATTCATTAATTGCTATTTGCTTTTTAAAGAGCAACTGAAAAAATTCACTTCCATTTTCAACATAAGCCTAAATAATAAGAGAGACAACTTTAAAAAATAACAAAGTAAATGAATGAATGTATGTTGACTGCCTATGTATCACTAAGCAGGCAGCAATAAATGATTCCTGGATAGTATTTTAGCAGCATAGAAGGGGATGTTTTCTTGTCTCCGGGCTATCTACCTAGGGTAGAATCATTGGGTCATACGGTAACTCTATATTTCTCCCTTTTAGGAACTTGCAGACTATTTTCTAAGGTAGTGTCTCCATTTTATATTCCTACCAAACATCTATGAGGGTCTTGATTTATCTACATCCTTGCCAACACCCATTGCCATCTGTCACTTTATTCCAGCCACCCTTGTGGGTGTGAAGTGGTAGCACATTATGGTTTCAATTTCATTTCTCTTGGGACAGACACTTGCTGGGCACACATTGAGGCACCAGATGGACATAATCATAGCAGCCTCTAGCATCCTGGATTCACATCTAACTGACCTCCATCCAGAAGAGAGCATGAGATGGTTTATCATGAAGAAACAAGAATGCAGCCTCTGCTCCCACCTTGATGTGATCAGAAAACATCAGCAACACATAAAGGAGAGGCGCCTGGGGTGACAGTCCCATACTGTGGCACTGAGAGTTCAGCAGGTGGAAAGCACCTTATTTAAGATCTCCAAGGGAACAGTGCCTGCTTGAGTGGCAGGAAGGGCAGAAGTTTTATTAGAGATCCGAGTCTTAGAAACACTTGGAAAACCTTTAAGTCAATGAAAGTCCAGGTTTGTTGGGTTATATTTTAGCCACAGCAAGCTTGTCATCTCAGAGATTATCTTCATCCAGAATTGAGGGGCCTTTACTGGATGTTTTTATAATCAAAATGATGGGAAACAAAAACTCAAACAGCTGAAGCTAATATCCCCATTGAGCACCAAAGCTGAAGGGTGGCATAGCCCAACCCTGCTTTGGCTCTGTAGTTGCTAACTAATCCCTTGGCAAGAACCAACAGGGATGACCTATCTCTCTCTTTTTAAAATAAAACCTTACCTTTGCCCTCCCAGTTGATAATCCATGTTTATGTCCTTCTGCTCTGTTTATGCTAGACTCCCAGGAGGGCCCTTCCAGCCAGAATGGCAAATTGACCATCCCAACATGGCACTGCCCTAGAGAGGTAGGAGAATTCCCTGAGTGAGTAACTCCCACTGTGACATGCAGCAGTAACTCTTCATCCTTCATCCTTCACCCTCTTGGGATATGAACTGTTGGAATAAAGACCAGCATTGTAGACTCTCCTGAAAGTCAGTACAACCCCTAGGGCTCTAGGAGCCAGGCCAGCTTGAGAACACTCCTGGCTCCTCCAACATGGACTGCCTGTCCTTCACCTGACTAACCATTACCCCCACAGTGTTGTCATGTCTCTGTGCCTGGGCCAGATCATATCTCCATAATCCAGGAAGAAATCACATCTTGTCCTTCTCTGTTTTTTCCTCCATAGTGCCCTCCAAGCCTATGAGCAGCTTCCCAGTTGACATCGAAGGCATCTGCGATGAACTGAACCCTCCTCTGTTATCTCCACAG